TAATTTACCGAAAGAAAGAATTACAAGAAAAAATGGAGGAAATGGCTAGTAGATATGCCACCGATGATGTAGAAAAATTAACTCAAATAAGCTTTTCAGTTGAGTCAGTTGCGTATCAAATAACTAAAGAAAAAAATTCTTGGAAACTGACTAAAAAGAAATTTGTTAATGACGTCAGAGATAGTTGTATTGAATTTTCTCATGGAGGATTATGGAATACAAAATATGAATTAAATGAATCTATTAGATCAGTTGATATGATCGCGTGTTATCCAGGAAGTTTTCTTGGTGGCGGAGAATGTCATAAATATTTTTTAAAATTCGGTATTCCTGGTAGTAACATGATAAGAAGATCAGTAAATGGAATATTACCTGATTATAATTTAACCGGTTTTGCTAAAGTAACACGATTTAATTTGCTGATAGTTTACATCCAGTAAATTAATTATGGCTAGGAAAACATATAGTTGAAAAAAATGGACCCTAACTGTAGTATTAAGATACGCTTTGGATACTGAAATTATAACTGATCTGGAAGTATCAGAAATAATATTTAGTGAAAAACAAACAGATATTTGGCTTCCAACTCCAGATAAAGATAAACACTGGAATATAGAATTTCTTCGCGATGTGATTAATAATGAAATTAAAAGAATTAACAGAATTATAATTGGGAAATTTACACAAGGAGAATTCGGATATGATGATATTCGTCGACGCAAAACAGCTAAATTAATACTAGATCCTGGTGAATTAAAATTTATCATCGACGATGCAGTATCTAAAGGTGTATTATGTGAACAAACAACTGCTAAATTATCATCTGGGGAGAATTTTGGAACTATTGTTGAGTATCTTGGCGGTGAAATGCCGCAATATGCTCATTTACGCTCGTATATGTTAGCTTATGTAAAAATAAATTTGTTAAGCATGGTCAACAGATTTCCAGATCCATACCATACCGGTATGGCAGTTAGAGTAGCAACTGATTCATTTTATTATGATAAAAAATATCAAAATATTGTTAATGAGTATCTCGGAGATGGTAAAACTTGGGGAACCTGGCGAATTAAAAATGAAGAATTACACAATTATAATCCAATGAATGATTACTCAGATAAACCAGAATATCATAATAATTTTATCGAGGAATATTCAACTGCTCCTAGTATACATGATCCTATCGGTCGACATAGAATTATGTATTTAAACGGTCCTGGCGGCTGCGGTAAAACTACTAGAGTTATGGAACATTTTCAATGTATTAAAGATGATTTTATTATTTTATGTCCAACTCATCGTTTAGTCAGATATTTTAAAGAACAAGGATTTAACGCAGATACTTATCATAATTATTTTAGATGGAGCGGTGGAGATTGGTCACCTGAACGTATGGGAACTAAACAAATTCATTCTGTGATAATGATTGATGAAGTTTGTACTATGCCTATTTCGGTAATAAAAATGTTTCGCGAATATCTTAAAAAACACACAAACTCAGTAGTTATACTTTGCGGTGATCATGGTCAGCCACCTCCATTCGGAAGTATTTCCCCGCATTGTTGGCTAAAATTGCAGGTTGATTATTACGAAGAAATGAACATAGATCGTAGATCTCTCGATGATGAATTAACTAAATTAAAAACTTCAATAAGATGTACAAGTAATGGAAATCAGGCTGCTGTATTTCGTAGAACTATACTCGGTAACACATTTGATGAATTTTTAGATAATTGGAAGCCAGCAGATTTTGTTATAGCGAGTAGAAAAAATACTCGAGATAGTATAATAAAACAATTGTTTAATATTCATAAAAATAAATTTCCTAATGAACTTGTACCTTTGTAGTATCGCCCAAAAGATACTAGATTGCAAAATATTTTAGTTGATATTCCTGGTAGTGATGAGGAAAAAAAATTAGTATTAAATGATATTATCTGGGTAAAATTATCAGATGTTTCAGGTGCATTAAATATGAATAATTCACCATGGAGGTTAGGATATGCGTCAACAATACATTCGACTCAAGGATTAACTATCCCGGATACAATTGTTTGGATCATTGATGATTTCATCGAATGGGATAATTTAGTATATTTAGCTGTAAGCAGGGTTCGTCGAATAAATCAACTTAGAAGAGTTGAAATATATGATGGTGATATATTATTTTAAAGTTTTTGGCGGAAGTTGAGTATCATCTGGAATAACTAAAAGCTGTTCATGAGTGAAATTTCTTTGCGGCGCATCAAAATCTAATGAATAATAAGTTGGTCTATATATCGAAGAATGTATTCCGTATATTTTATGTGCTGTAGTACTCCAAATAGGATCAGTAGATCGTCTAACACCACCTTCTAATTCACCTGGTTCATATAAATACCTTACTGTGGAATCCCATGGTATTCTTTTTTCTGGAGAATTTGGTAAAATAGTTGGTTTTATTTTTTTTGCCTGATATTCATCATTGATCGTTTTTATTACAGCAGGAAGTCTTTTTGCCCATTCTGTTCATCTATTTTGTTGAATAAATTCTTTTGAATATTGATAACTAAATAATTTATCAGCAAGAGTTCTATTAAATCTTTCAACAATAGCTTGATCACGATGAATATTTACATGTCCACGCCGGATAGTAACATTTTTTTTTTGTCATTGTTGAGGAAACTTCACCGCGAAATTCATTTCCTGGATCAACTTGGAGAAGAATTGGCCAAGTAAGTGGGCCACGTTTGTTGATTTTTTCAAATGCTTTAATAACTTCTGCAGATTTTTTTGTTGAAAGTGGTTCAGCATCTTTGTACCTGGTAGCTATATCAACTACTGTTAACGCGTATTTATAATTTTTATCATGCGGAAGGTATAAAATATCAGCTTGATGAACTTCATTCGGGATGTAAACGTCAAATGATCCGTATTTAATAGATTTTGGTTTAGGTAAGTAAATTTGCCATATTGCTTGTTTAGATAACCACGTTTTTGCAGTATCGTAAGAAACTTTAGCGGCTGCAGCTAATTTATCCACCGCGGATATTCCTCTCCAATATCCTTTGGGAGAATAATAATTTTTTTCATTCTATTTTCTACCATTATTTAAACACTTGCACCAAATAACAATTTACCTTTCATCGCGGATTTAATAATCCATGTTGCAATTTTTTTCTCTGAAATTTTTATCAGGTATTAAATTTAGCGCATGAATTAAATTAACGTCGGCGAGATGTCTTTGCTGCAAATCATTACTTTTATAAGCAATATCATGTATTCTACAGGCTTCATCTATGGCGTTAACTGGAAATTCTCCTGGATTAGGTTGATCATTTTCATTAAGTCGAATATCTAACCTGGTACCTGGTCCGCAATAGCTGTATCCTGGGAGATGTTTTCCACCAGGGTATTTAGCCCAAGGGAGTCCTGGGAGTTTTGCGAGCTTTCTGGCAATATCTCCTCCACTTTTTTTTATAAATCTAAATTTTTTTGTATTGCAGTTTGCGCATAGTCCAGATTAGGCTTGTCTATTATTTTTAGTTACAATTGTCGTCAGGTCATTTGTCGGGGTACGTGTCTTACATTTCACACAATATAAATCCATAATATTATTATGATATAATTAAATGGAAGTTCTTGACTTTTCAGCAAAAAAAGGAAAACCACCAATTAAACATCATGAAATGCTGCCAAATTCAATCCGGGGTATTATTATAGGGCCATCAGGGTCAGGTAAAACTCAGCTTTTACTTACATTGATAATGAAATACACCAATTGGGATAAATTATATTTAATAGCACCTAGCGCAGATGATCAAGATTGTTATACAGTGTTGAAAGATTTTAATTCTACCGCAGCGGAAAACTTAGGTTTTGATCCAGTTGAGTTTATACATGATGTAACCGAATGCCCTCACGTAGATGATCTCGATGTATCTTTAAATAATATAATAGTATTTGATGATGTAATGTTGAATAATCAGAAAGTGCCAGCTTTGTTATTTTCCCGAGGTCGTCATAAACATGCTGACATGTTTTATTTAACTCAGAGATATACCCAAATTCCTAAAGTTATTCGCGATAATTGTAAGTTTCTATGTGTGTTTAACGGTGTTGATAATCATACATTGCGAAATATTTGGCAAACATGGTGTTCCGACATGGATTTTAATAAATTTAAAAATTTCTTTAGTCATGCTCAGCGGACCCCTCATGGATTTGTCACGATAAATTTACATGAACCTAGAATGAGATATCGTATCGGGTTAGATAAAATTTTCACCTAAAAATCTTTCCGCGGGTTCACCATACCCGTATTTTCAAAGGGTCACCTGGTAAACCCCCCCCCCGATTTTTGACATTTTTAGGGGTAGGTACCCCCGATTTTTGACATTTTTGGGGAGTCTATATATTTCAGACATTTTTTTTATGTCTTGGATTTGGAAATGGCAGCTTTGTTCTGACTTTTTGGGGATAGGGGTGTTGGCGGATCCTAAAAATTGGTGGGTTCAGCCCCTCTGCTGCTAACCGTATGTTCAATTTAAGCTAATGTAGTATAATCACTATATACAAGGAGCATTCATAAAAGTAGTATTTTGTTGTTTATTATTATAACCACGCTAATACGTACACTTACATAAGCCAGATAAGCGAAACTTCTAACGTTCTATTTTTGTAGAACTGTTAGCTAGGTCAGATCCACATGGGCCTCTTGATTCTATGACATTAAACGGCAAGGACATTATACGAAATGTGGTATTGTTTATTCTAGTATTATACATGTGCGTGAAACAAGTGTAAATTTTTTTTTATCATCACATCATTGAGGTAAAGTTTCAGGGCCTATCATATGCTTGCAGGAGTGAATAAGTTCGCATGTCCTTGAAGCTGGGGCTTGAAAAGCATTATCACACAAAAATCATACGTTTTTAAACCAATCAGGTTTGAAGCTGTAATATATAAGGTGGGATAATCTGCACATACCTAAATCCACATGTCGACTTTTCTTTATATAAGACCTCCGGTGACCTAGTGGTTAGAGCATCCGCCTCGGATGCGGGAGGTCGCAGGATCAAACCCCAGCCGAGTCATACCAAAGATTTTAAAAGACAGTACTAACAGCTGCCTCGCTTGGCGCTCAGCATTAAGAGGTTAGTGTTAGGACTGGTCAAACTGCTGTCATGATAATGTGACTTGGTGTGACATCGTGTCCCATATCTGCGGCATGATGTCCCAGTACTAGAATTTACAATAAACTGTCACACTGTAGACATCGTAGCTATATGACTGAAATATTGTTAAAGCTATCTTTAAAAAAATCTAAATAGAACACACACACACACACACACATACATACATACACACGACCTTTGGCTTCGTTGCTCTTTTGTCACGAGAGAGTTGAGCAATGTGGAGGCGATAAGTATATCGTGTTCGACACAAAACCTACTTTACTCTCGTCAGTGGAATCGATACCGGCTTACCGTTTGTTGTTACATGAGAGCAGGTTCTAGATTAGGACAAGGTGCGTCCAAGTCTATCTCTGTTCTATCCCAACCCCATCTTGCCGCACGTTTTGTTTTTAAGCATACCTTATTGCTTAAGTTAGAAAAGTAAATAGCTTAGTCAAAAGTTCCGCTAGTTTAGAATTACCTTTCACCTAACAATCACACAACACGTAATGGTTCATTCATCAGGAAAAACGTAAAAGGAAAATTAAAATGACCACTATATACATATATATATATATATATATATATATATATATATATATATATATATATATATATATATATATATATATATATATATATATATAAACAGTTTTTATGTTCAAGAACTTTTCAATGACATATATGGATGAATAACATGACTCAAATCAGACTTTTAGTATTATAGCTTCGAATACATGTAAACATACATACATACATACATACATACATACATACATACATACATACATACATACATACATACATACATACATACATACATACATACATACATACATACATCATACATACACACATACATACATACATACATACATACATACATACATACATACATACATACATACATACATACATACATACATACATACATACATACATACATACATACATACATACATACATACATACATACATACATACATACATACATACATACATAGTCAAATGATGCTATGGGAAGAGAAAACCACCGAAATCGTTTTGAGGAAAATAGTAATAATAATAGTTCAGTACTGTAAAACCACGACAAGGATATTATACATAGCCGGACGTAATGTATTGGCTAGTGTTTAATGCATGAAGTGGGTTAAATGTAATCACAGCTCTTGATTATATTGTTCGTGATATCGCGTTACGTACGGGTAGGGTGTGTGCTACTGTCACATTCACATCCATTTTGTTCACTTCCTTGTTTGTTCACAGAATTATCAGTAACGGTTCTGTATGACGAGAATGTGGGATCATTCGACTTAAGTATGTTCAGGTATGAATGGATTTTTTTGACGTTTTTTATATACATGTTTTTAATAGATATGTATATCCTGCACTTTATGACATGTAGATTGAAAAATGGATGAGTACTTTACATAGCTTCACCATTTTGGAGGGGTTGGGGTCAGAATTTAATGGAAATCAGAAGTGGAATCAGTGGTGAAGATATTATTTCGTGTGTGTTGATTTTTTGCTTGTCCTACATTTTCTAGTGAAAAGTTACAGGCCTTACTGCACTAATGCACTAATTGAAAATATATATTGTTGCATCCTTTTGTGGTGCCAGCGAAATGAACTAATAATTTTCCTCTGATTTTTCTTGGAGATTTGTTGTCCAGTGAAGAGTGGTTATTTGCATTCATCAAAAATCTGCTTTAAGATCTACATTGAAAAAAAAAGTTTATTGAGTGCAGCCTATTGGATTTAGGTAGGATAACGTTATAAATATAACTGATCAAGCCACTTTCAGACACGTCACTTGCACTAAAAAAATCAAAAAATTATTTCATTCAATTGCAATATTTCCAAAAAATGAAACCAAACACGTGCCGACTTTTTTATAAGGTGTGTCCATGTTAGTACATCAGTAAGACATTCTCAGTGCATATGATATTGTGTGTGTGCTGACTAAAATAAAATGTATGAGCTGCTTTCATGCACTGTCAAAAGATCTAGCTGTTGAAGTGTTTTCGTACGCATGCTGAGCTTTCAAAGAAAGCTTGCTTTAGTTTATTTTAGTGTTTTACTGCAAAACGACACTTTTAGGTTTTTTATTGTCAGGACAATTGCAGTAAATTGCCAGCTCAATCACAAAACCCAACAGCTGACCTGGGCAGGTCCTATGGTAATATTTGAACCTGTACCCTTTCGGTGTCGAGTTCGGCACGCTAACAACTCAGCCACCATAGTTACTGCCTCCACTAGTCACATTAATCATGGAAATGAGATCCCACAGGGATGCAGTTTGATGACGGAAACGAGACCTCGCCAAGGGGCATAGAGTTTGATGGCATAAACGTGAACATGTAAAGGGGAGGGACATATAATATTATTGCAGAAACGAGCTATACAGCAATGATTATATTAACTTTATTAAACAGAAAAACAATTTAAACAATTTTTGTTTTTCTATTTACTCAGATACAAAGCACAGGTAGTCGAAATGTATAATACTTTACTAAACACTAGAACGTGCACAATATCACTTAAAATGAAAAAGAAAAATGAGTGAGTTTACCATAACATTCATCAGAGAGCAATAGGTGCAACTCCGTTCGAAATAAGAGAGGGTGAAAACAGATCAAAAGTAAGAACTAAGGTTTTTTCCCCATTAACCTATCCATTTGGAACATCCATTTACGATAGCTGTAAGAGTTCGAATTTCTACACACAAGATAATTTTGTAAGGGCTTACCTTCCTAGCCTTACAATCGAAAGGTTAAAAAATAGGCAATTAATTTTAGGTCCCCCAGTTGTTTAAAATTTGACGACTTCGTAAGGTTTTGAAATTTCGTTTTCCTAAATTCATTTCTTTTAAAATCATGTTCGTATGAATCAATATCTGTTAATATTAATTGTGAAATAACAATGTTTCAAGCATTTACACACGTGCCCTTTCTGTGTCTGTCTATGTATAAAACAATTTCGTTGTTTTCATAAATTTCTTCAGACCTTTTATATATATATATATATATATATATATATATATATATATATATATATATATATATATATATATATATATATATATATATATATATATATATATATATATATATATATATATATATATATATACCTGTGTGTGTAATGTCAATAGATAAATATGTGCAATGTTAATAAATACAAATGGTGTGTAATGTCAATATATACAGATGGTGTGTAATGTCAATAGATACAGATGGGTACTGATGTATTATTTGGTATGTAATGTCAAAAGATACAGATGGGTACTTAAGCATTATTTGGTGAAATGTCAATAGATACAGATGGTTACTAATGTGTTATTTGGTGTGTAATGTCATTAGTAACAGATGGGTGCTGATATATTTGGTGTGTAACGTCAATAGATACAGTTGGTTACTGATGTATTATTTGGTGTGTAACGTCAATAGATACAGTTGGTTACTGATGTATTATTTGGTGTGTAACGTCAATAGATACAGTTGGTTACTGATGTATTATTTGGTGTGTAATGTCAGTAGATACAGATGGGTACTTATGTGTTATTTGGTGTGTAACGTCAATAGATACAGATGGTTACTGATGCATTATTTGGTGTGTAATATCAACAGATACTGAAGGTTACTGATGTATTATTTGGTGTGTAATGTCAATAGACACCGATGGTTACTGATGTATTATTTGGTGTGCAATCTCAATAGATACAGATGGTTACTGATGTATTATTTGTTGTGTAATGTCAATAGATACATACGGTTACTGATGTATTATTTGGTGTGTAAGGTCAATAGATACATACGGTTACTAATGTATTATTTGGTGTGTAATGTCAGTAGATACAGATGGTTACTGTTGTATTATTTGGTATGTAATGTCAATAGATACAGATGGTTACTAATGTATTATTTGGTGTGTAACGTCAATAGATACAGATGGTTACTGAGGTATTACTTGGTGTGTAACGTCAATAAATACAGATAATTACTAATGTATTATTTGGTGTGTAACGTCAACAGATACAGCTGGTTACTAATGTATTATTTGGTGTGTAACGTCAATCGATACAGGTGGTTACTGATGTATTTTTTGTTGTGTAACATCAATAGATACAGGTGGTTACTGATGTATTATTTGATGTGTAACATCAATATATACAAACGGTTACTTATCTGAATGTATTCTCTGATTTGAAGGAAGAGTCCAGGCGGTAACTAATTCGTTCCTGTTTTATGGGTGTTTTAGTTGTATATGACCATGTAGTTGTATCGATACCTGAAAGTATTTCATCAAGAGAGTTTTTAACATTAGATATCTCTACAGATAATGATGAATATAGTTTTAATATTCCACCACGTGTTTTTAATATCAGTGGCAGAAATGTACCTGAAGTATCTATTTGCATCAGTACAATACGTTTTTCAACGTGATACGTAACTTCATTATGATTTTGTTTGTACCGAAATCAATACAGTTTTATTTAGTTTGGAATTTAGTTTGGATTTTATATAACTTCAGTTAATGTCTAATATTTGAACTGCTCAGTAAACATTAATGTAGTAGTTAGAAATTTGTTTTATTCAATATATTCAACTATTTAGCATGTTTCTATACATGATCATTGACATTAAACGACTGACATTCTAATTAAAGTTCAGCACACACACTAAACATCTGCTTTCTCTAATCTGTTAGTCTCTCTGTGCAGCCATCTCTAATATATTGGGTGAAGTGGTAGGATTTATCAATCTTCGTACGTGAATTGGGAGGGTTGTTGTCATTTTGTATTGTTTGTTTGAGGTTTTAGGATTTTGTTTACATCAAATAAAGCTTCAATATCGCTAAATTACTTAAGCGTATATGATACATTTAGGTTCATGTTGTTTCATTATTATGTCGTTTGA